AGCCAGGACAAGGAAGTCAAAGAGTGAACAGAACAGAGGACCACAAGTGAGGGACAGATGTTTAGATTTTATATCCAGGTGTGAGGAATGAGAGCTAATGAACAGGACACAGGTGAGTGTGATGAACTGATTTCCCGGGGAGACACAGACAGACATGACAAAAGGAGAAACAAGACTCTGATTCTCTGTGAATGTGTTAGGGACCCTGTCCAAGTTGTGCTGCTGGTTTCTGTTTGTATTGATTTTTGGGACGAGAAGCAGGTTAACAACACAACTTGAAAATGAACTTTGACGATTATCTCGACAGTCACAGAAATGTACTTCCACCTTGCCAACTGCTAACTGCTGAGCAAAATGTACAAAAATAATATTTGTGTCCATGATTATTTCATCAATTTAATCTGCCCTAATTGAAAAGAGATGAAGTTAATTATGTGCTGGCATCACAGGGCATAAATGATTTAAATAAATGTATGTCATTTTTGGATGTGAAATTTGATACATAACATAAAACACAGTACATGTTTTCTTTCTTGAATAACCACAGACCCTTTATTTACACAACTACATTAGACCAAACAGTCATTGTTGAATTAAACATCTGAAAAACGAATAATTTCCATGGAATAGTTGAGACTGTGAATCCTGCCAAGTAAACTTTGGGACTGAAAGCAGTTTGGAACCCAGACAATCAGACCTTTTTGTCTTTGATTGGGAAGTAGAAAAAGCAATGTTTCCCACATTTGGAGGAGGTCAGATCAGCACTTCAGCACATTATTTACACATCACACATTCTTCAAATGCTTTACAAGAAAAGTCTTGGGTATGAAATGGAAGATTCGTCTCTCTATTTTACTCAAACTCATTCATATTTCTAGACTTTTTACACCAGTCAGTATGCAGGCTCACAACAGATACAAGTTTAAGGAGGACAAAAAGAAATACAACAGATCAGTAACTCAGCATATCTCTAGGTTTTTGGCCCCATCTTCATCTTTCGTGGTCATCAGCTCCAACAACAACAACGTAATACACACCTTTAGGAGAGTGGGAGTTGTGCAGTGTCACTATCACAACTTTATCTCTTCTGTTTAGTCTTTAACAGTCTTTGGTATGCAGCCTCAAAGCTCCCTTCACACTGAGAAGTCACGTCTGTTGCTCTCAGTGAGCTCATCTATGGCCAAAATAACTTCCTCTTCTCGCTGCATCACATCCAAATGACACAACATTTACATAAAAAAAGTCAATGCTCAAGCAGATGGTACAGTTTCCACCACATAATCATCCAACCTTATCTCAGAGGTTCCCAAAGTGGGGGGCATGCCCCCTGGAGGGGGTGCAGTGCCATTGCAGGAGGGGGGCTCCAATGGATTTGATGGTTATATTCTCAATTGCCAGTTTTTAGGTTTTGTATCTGACATAAACCTGTTTTCAGAGGACGTCTGTGGACTATTGATTTCAGATATTTACCTGGTAATAGATGATTGTGTCCATTTTTGTGTGTGCTCAAGACAGTTGTTAATGTTGGAAACTAACAGCAGAAATGCTTTCAAATATATTAGCTTAGCTTCACCACAAACAGTACACATGTTCATAAAATATGCTACAAGGATGTTCCTACAGGGAAGTCCTCCATTAGCAGACAGAGTGACACCTGAAAGGCCACCCACCATGTGAACTGAGACTCAATATGTTGTGTTCCTTCGCTACCTACAGCCGCACGCCTCCACCACCATGTCTTCATACTGCTTGTAGACAACGTTATTGGACGAGTCAATGTAGAGGATGCTGATTGGTGTGAGTCGTGTGGGGACGCAGCAGGTGGACGGCGCCGACTCAGGATCCATGGAGTTGATCAGGGTCTGAATGATTGCATGGTTGGTTGGCTCCAGGTGGGAGCGAATGGGAAAGTCACAGGCACCATCGCAGTGATATGCGTCATATTCCAGAGGTGCAATGATCCAGTCATCCCAGCCCATCTCTTTGAAGTTAACATGAAGGTGTTTCCGATTGCAACGCGGCCGTGTCTTCACCCCCTGGAGCTGGGGCACAACCTGTGACGGCGATGAATGCTGCTGCTGCTGCTGCTGCTGTGGAGGCTTCTTCGCTCCTCTCATCGCAGGAGCTCTCCGCATTCTTCTCTGAGTGAACAGGTACTCGTAGACCGTTTTGTTGTCGTGGCCCGACCTTGCTTTGATCTCATTGTAGAAAAGGTCACGCTTTTTGCTTTTTCCAAACGCCACAAAGAATGCCTTCTCCTTGTTGGTCCTGCCCAGCCGGGCAAAGCCTAGAGTACGCAGGTCTATGGTTCGACCGCCCCGGTGCTCCAGGGCCTCTAGTTCAAAGCACAGCTGCTGCTGGTAGTTTTTTGAAGCCTTGAAGACTTTCCATATGTCAAACACTTCCCATCTGCTGTTGAATCCACCGATTAGATCCTCAGTGGGCTTTGTCTGAAGAAGAGTAGCCTTTTGTTTACCTGAAGCACAAGTGTACAACTTTAGGCAAGGGGACGAGCTTCCTCCACCACCTTCTCCACCCCCTACGCCTCGATCACCAATGATAGATCCCACTGAGGTTCTGCGAGGGTCCGACAGGCGCTTCCTTAAGATGTGAAGCTCAGCCCCCAGCAGCCCGTCTCTTTCTAGAGAGCTGATGTTGAAGTGATACCTTTGCCGTCTCAGCTGGGTCCCGCGCTCATCTGAGAGAAATGACAGAAAAAGTGGACAATATGTGAGCTAGAGCTAACAAAAAAAGTTAAAGGCGCACACTCTTCCTAAAAGGTGAAAGCAGTCGCAGACATCCATGTTGCATAAAAAGCAGATGCAATATGAGCAGGGTGAAGGAAAGGCCAGTGTTTTCAGAGAAACAGATGTAAATGCACATGTGGGTGCGCAGGCAAACACAAAGCAGACGTTCAACACATGCACGCACATTACAATGCTGCAATCTGGGTCAACCTGTATCAATAAAATAATTATTAGTGATATTTTAGCAACAGTTTTAATATTTGATCACTAATCCAGTTTCCAAGTCATGGCTTAGCATCAACAGAATCATTGCATTATTGAATTTAACAACTACATCCATTATGATTTGTAGCATATCAAAAAGACGGTGACACTTAACTTTTTAGCATTTAGCATTTAGCATTGTTGTTAGAGTGGAGGCTAATCAGTTAAGTGGAGCTATCGCAGTAGAAAGGAAAGTGAATAGATAGCATGTCCCTCTTAGTCCTGTATGGACTTACTTGGGTTATGGGGGTAAAAAGCAGGCATCAGTGTGTGTAGGCCATGTTTTATTGGCACTGACACAACCGTAACCTAACTATGGACCAGTCACAGGCCGTGTGCAAACAAATCTTTATGGATCACAGTTTGAGTCAACCTTGCGTGTATCCCACATTGAATGCTGCCTGAAGAGAATCCACTTACTGTATAAACCAAATATCTCTGAATCCATTGTGACAGGTGGCCATATGCTTCTCTTTTGCTTGTTAGTACAGAGCCTTTCACAGTCAACATGTTAGCTGTTTTCAAGTAAGCTGTCAGCGGGTGATTTTTTTAACAACTTTGCTGATCTCTGTACAACACTCTATGTTGTTTTAATCATTTTAGAAGTAGAAAATGGGCCCATCCTGTTTCTTATGATGTCATCCTGAGGCAGGGGCCGGAGTTTTTAGTCATAACCAATCAGTTATTCAGTTAGCTTTTTTAGCTTAGCTTTAGCTATTTCAATGTGCAACATAAGCTTACGTTTGCTGACTTGGGGCCTATGTATACATTTCATCTACATTGTAGAAAGAAAGGGGGCTGGTAAGTAAATCTAAGTGAGAATTCTGGGGGATGGATGTAGCAGGCAATCAGTTTAACCTCTTACATGTGGAGGAGGTCACTGGCGATTTGCTGAGGACACACTAAACAAATAAAGCCTGAATTAAAAGTACATTAGGTGCTTAAAGCGTAAACCTTTAGCAGAGCTAGAAAAATGGAACTCTGGTCATTATAACATTGTTTTAAACAGTTTTACACCGTGAGGATAACATTACAGAGGGAGGGGGCGCCCTACTTGTGGTCATGAACAGTGTTTATTTACTCTCCTGAGGCCGTAAAGCAGCAAAGCTGCCAACCATTGAGTGAATGGCTAGAAAAGGCACACAGAAATACACACTAACATTGATCAGGGCCGCACTCGAGTAAATACACACGGGGTAAATACATAAATACAGGTGTGCTATGAGCTAATGTAGAGCTAAACTGCACCTGAAAACTAATTTTAATGTTTTTTCAAACCTTCTTTCTAGTAGTTTTTTTGCAGACGAAAGTCCCGCTCATATGAATGAATGGTCTGGGGGGGGGTTTAATCAAAACATTGTATTCATTTGTCCATGTGCTCACTTTGCTTTGTTAGCACACTACTTAAGTCAATGTTGCTACCAATATGTAACATAGGTAGCATTCAAATGGTTCCAGGTTCAATTCCACCTTGGCCCAATGGATGTATGTATGTATGTATGTATGTATGTATGTATGTATGTATGGATGGATGGATGGATGGGTGGATGGATGGATGGATGGATGGAGGGATGGAGGGATGGATGGATGGATGGATGGAATTATTGATGTAAGTGTATTTGTTCTTGCAGAAGTGGCTTTTGTCGGGATCAGCCAGACTGAGGCTAATGTTTGTTTCTATTGCCTTAGGAATCCAAACTCAATAGTATACAGTATACTAGTGAGGTGCTAGCAGGGTTTCTCCTCACAGACAACTCAGACATTTCCTTAACATAAGACAGGTTAATGCATAATACTATAATAATACAATGGACAGACACCTTGGCAAAGTACCGTTCATAAAACATATTGAGTCAGGCAAAAGTTGGAGGCTCATTTAAATGACTTTGATGACATGACTTGACAACTTTTACTAGTCAAAACAAGCTAACTTTAACCAGTACAACTCTAAACCAGGGTACCTGTGTCCTCTCCAGCACCAGCCGCTAAGCTGAGAACGCTACTAATGCACGGTGCGCACTAGTAAGATGTCAGCCCAAAACATCCAAGTGCAGAGAGAAAATGTCCAACTGCTCCACATGCCAGTGACATTTTGATGTGTGATGGTTCAGTCTGCAGCTCCCAGCAGCCTGCTGCAGCTTTGAAGTCAGTTCCAGCAACGTTATGAGTAACAGAGTCGTCTCTTTCCCCATTATTCCTTATGTGTGCGAGCAGCTGACCTGCCTCACTCTCCTCCAGATGCTCCATTCTTATACGTTTACCTCACGGGCCCCCTAAACACAGACATCTACAGCTTTGGACAAACGTGGGCTGCTCGTCCATCTCCCAGCCTTATCGTTCAGCACCTGGACCCTGCTCCAGAAACACCTCTCTCCTGCCTTCACCCCCTGCTGTGTCTTTAAAGAGAGATTGGTGTGTCTGCTGCACTAAAAGCCAACGTATGTACAGTCAAACCCAACACAAAGTATTTAAAGTCATGATCTAGTGATGTGCTTTATTACAAATGCTCTGTGAAAAGTTGCCAAGTGTTGAGATGAAACTCCTGACCCAAACACACTGGTATAAAATCTATAAATATTTTAGAAGCACTGGTTGTTTTAGCTACAGATTTTCCACTAAAGAAGATATTGAAGTGTGATTAAGCCTGAACCACATCATGTTTCCTTATATGAACTGCCTTCTGCCATACTTTAATGATTACGTTCCTGTAATCTACACATGTCAAACTTGTGGCCCGAATGTGGCCAGCCACATCATTTTATAAGGCCCACCAGAGTTTATCATGTGTCTGATTGTCTTAAAATAAATTTCTACCTTAAAGAGTCAGGTGGTATTACTAGGGGGCAACAGGGTCAAGACTTTTTTATATATATTTCAAAAAAGTTTTGCACATTTCTAAAATAGCACCATTCATTTGAAAGCTCTGTCGTGTATCATGAGCCACATGCGAAATAAACAGGTACCAGTTGTATATAAAACACAGTTATATTTAATAAATGTCAACTTCAGCAGTGTCACAAAGCAAGATGATTTTGGGAAACAGTGAACATGTAAAAGGAGGTGAAATGTAAAATGTCTTTACCTTGTCCTTTATCGACGAAGCTCGTGATGGTGTTGGCCAGACCCGCTTCACTCAGGGCGCTGCGGTTGTGCGGTCCGCTGCTCAGAGACCAGTAAAGAGACAGCATGTAGTCATGAGGAATCACGAGCGGCTGTTTGTGATTGGCCGCCTCTCGGTCATTTATTTCTGAGCTTTTGTAGCTCGGTCCCCGCTGCTGCGCCACCGGAGCTGCGTTTATGTGCTGTGGCTGCTGCTGCTGCTGCTGTTCTTCCTGTTGTTGTTGCAGCTGTTGTTGCTTCTGTTTTTGCTGCTTCTGCAGTTGCTGTCTTTGTTGCTGTTGCTGCTTCTGCTGTTGCTGTTTTTGCGCAAAGTTTCCTCTTTGGAGATGTCCGTTGCGCGCTGCTGCAGTCGCCGCTACAGGTCTCACTACAGTGGGGTTAGCTTTTCCCAAATGCCTCCCCGTTGATCCTCCGCCGCCTTCAGTTCCTTTAGATGTGGTTTTGGCCCATTTCACATCGGCGGGCGCGTTAAGAGCGACGGGAGCTTGCGCTTTCGCTCGAGCCTCCCAGGAGCGCACAGGCTCTTTGCGCGCCAGGCTGGCAGTCCCGTTCCGGCGTTGATTGACTGGCACCACTCCGCTGAGCAGCGCAGAGGAAGAGGGGGAGGATGAGGCTGATGCCAAAGAGGCACCTGCGCCTTTAGGCACCGAGTTCTCGGTCTTGACAATCGCAGACCCTGCACGGATATTCGAGATTCTCGAAGTAGTCACCGGCGACGGTTTCCGTGTGCCAACGTTGGCTCCCGTTTGTCTTCTCGCTGTTGGTATGGACCCAGCGGTTCCTGTCTTGATCTCTGACACTGCCTCTCCAAGCCGGTGTCTCTGGTTCTGATCAGTCGGTTTAGTCCGGCTAAGTGAACCGAGAATGGGCTGCAAGTAAAGCAGAGTCCAACAGCTCAGCAGGAGGCAGAGACGCGTCACAACTTTCATCCTAAAACCCTGAACTCTTTAACCAAACCGTCATTGTAAAAGAGTCAAGTCACAGAAATTCTAGAGCTGTGCGCTGAAGAAGAAAAATGAGAAGAAGATTAAAAGTTCTTGACATCTTCTCAGACCCGTGTGCGCTCTGCCCACGTCTGGATCATGGAGCATGGACATAAAGGCAGAAATGTGACGCTCCTCTCACATGTGTAATCTGAAAAAACAAAATGTGTACACGTTTAACCTTCCATACATAATCTGAGAAAATCATAGTTCTGCTGTCGCTGCTGCTCAGTTCCAGTGGCGCACAGAGCAGAGAGCTGGAGGTTAATGAGGAGAAGCGGCTCCACGGCTCCATTCTGCTCACAGTCCCTTCAAGAAACTTCTTTAAATCCCACTTTTTCCAAAGAGAGGCAAGAATGGCGTAATACTGCTGCCTCCCCCTCTCTCTCTTCCTCCCTCTCCCTCTCTCTCTCCCTCTCTTTCTCTCTCTTACTTTCTCTCTTCCTCCCCTAAAGTTTGAAATGTGTCCAGGGAAAATATTTCACTCTCAAAGTAACTCAGGGCCTGCAGGTGCCTGAAGCAGAAGTCCTACAACTGCGTCTTCAACATTGTACACACTATGGACCCCGTATCAATGGGGAATTGATTGATTATTATACACACACACACACACACACATATATATATATATATGTGTGTGCGTATATATGGCGTATTGAATTTAACCACACACTACCATTTATAAAAATACCCTTATAGTTTGCAGTTGATAGTGGGTTATTCTATGATACAGTGGTTAATATATTCATGTTTTTGTCTTAAATATATATATACAAAAATTCCATTTAATATTAATAATGTTGGGTTTTGACATCACACTGGGCATTTTTGATTTTATGTTATATTTTGCAGATTTCTTGAATATTATTTTTATTTTAGTTTTGATTATGTGATGTTCAAAAGGTCAAATTGTTTACAAGGTCAAAAGGGTCACATGGTATGTTCTACAATTTTCAATTTTCTCTCCTTTGCTGGAGGACAAGGGGGCTCTTGGAACTGACTCTAAAATTCTATGCCAGTTTAATTTATGATGGCACCAGGAGTGCCAGCAAAGTGTCATAAATTTAGTTTAGGCCGAGCCTGAGAAATAATTAGCAGTCAGAAAGCTTGGGTTCAGACCTGGATATGTTGGCAGTGCAGCGGCAGCAGGTCTCTGGTGGTTTGAAACCGGAGCTGCAGTTCTGGTGAACTGTTTCTCTTTCCCCCCTCTGTGTCTCTTAACCTGCTGTCCGTTTTCCCGCGATCCGTGTTTTGCCGTCCACGTCAGTGTGACGGATGAAGAGAAGTGATTGGATAATGTGAGGCTGTCACGGATCAAGACGATCCAGTCAGTTTGACTAAACAGCTCAAGGATGTGAGGTAACAGCGACTGGTACAGAAGCTGCAGCTCAGGTACAGCTTTGTGTTTACTTTAATTTTCAAATGAAGCCTGTGCTGTGCTGACAAAGTGTGCTGTTGTTTTTCTACATGTTTACACAGTCAGCTGCCACACCACAGGCTGTAAAAAAGATTATTTTTTTCTTCATTTCATAAGCTACCAAAAAATTGAATTCTTAATGCAGTACCTGCAACCCAGCTGCTTCCATAGAAATTGAATTCTTAATGCAGTACCTGCAATCCAGCTGCTTCCAGTGATTTCCTAACACTGTGCTGCTAATTTCTCTTAATTGGATTTAAACTATTAATTATTTGCTGCTAATAGTTTGTCTTTGTATATAATGCAACTGTGATGGGCAGAATAATAACCTTACATACTCTCACACTAAATGGCAGCAGTTGAATTTGGACACTTTGTCTTACTTCAATTCCTGCAAGTATGTCAGCCTTGTGTTCAACTAAACAGGCCAGAGGTTTCACACTGTGAGAAAATGGAAACTAGATCATTATATTTCATTAATTTTTTTTTTTTTACTTTCTGGGAAATTTTTGTTTGTTGGTCTGCTGTGGGATATTTTTAATGTTTATACTGCAATACATTACATTTTATGCCTAATTTCTAATGGTCTATTTTGGATGATTTTTACCCCTTCATCAGAGGTTGCTGCAGTGGTTGTAAGAAAATTGATTTGGTTCCTCCTTAAGCAAACCCTGCTGTCTGGGTTGTGAGTCTGGGTTTTTTTCTTTGTCCTCTTACTGGTAGCTTCATCTCCAGCATCCTTTTAAAAATTTGTATCCACTTTTTTTCTCTCAGCACATTTCCAAAACCGTCTCAGTCTAAATCTAACATGTCCCTCTGATGGATAATCCTATCCGTCCTGGTCACTCCCAATGATGCATCTTCCACTCTGCTATTTCCAGCTCAGTGTCTGTCTGGTTCTAGAGTGTGTTTACACTTGTCATGTTTGGTTAAATTAAAAAGAAACCCTGGTGTGGTTTTTCTCTTGACTCAGTTCACTTACACATGTGTAAATGCTGCCACCGTCCAGGTGCACCGGGACATTTTGCAACATTGGTCCGCATCCAAACAAACTCTGGTACGAGTCACTTTTTATGTTAATGACCTAAAACCAAACACCAGATTATTTGCCAAAGACACAAACAACATCACAAGAGACAAACAAATTCTAGGTATAGTCTGCAGGTGCGTGCTTCCTTTTTCTATAACATCATTGTTATGCATGTTAGTGCATTTTAGACTATGTTAAGGAATATTGTTTTGCTAAAGAAGTTCCGAGGCAGAGATTTTAACTCATCATATCCAATTCTATTACCGAAAAAACCTGCTGTTGGAGTAGCCTCTGAGACTATTAACTTTTGCTGTGTCCTATTTTTTGATGTACGTTACCAGTATCAATATCTCAATTTGTTTATTTTGACAAAATAGTAAAGAATCTGATAACTTTGTTTGTTTGTTTGTTTGTGTAAGTAGCTTTAGATAGATGACCAAACTGCTAAATTGTATTTTGCCCACATTACTGCTTACATTCTGTATATATTCACATCTTATGTATTTACACTGTGCCGGTATATCAAGAGCCACACTAACATATATGTATTACATTTATGATGTTCGTTGCTGTGAGGTAGAGTATAGTGAATTATATTTTTGCCGAAGCCGGATGGACAGAGTTATAATGGACAGAATAGTGACTTTTAAACGAACACTTCGCCCTTCGTCATCAATGAGCATGCGCTAGCGTTCAGCTCAAAGCCTCACATGACTCTTGGGCTTCCATACAAAGAGAGAAATGAAGGCCTTTCAATGGAAACAAACCACTGGAATAAGAAAATGTCATTATGACGACACAAAGAGACACAAACACTGACTCCAGTCAGACAAATGACACAGTGTGGAAACAAAAATTACCAATAAATCTCAGCGGAGTTCAGATTTATGTCCATCATCAGAAAGCTAAATAGAGACAAACTCGTTAACGCCACCTAGTTGTAATTCTTTCTGTGAGTTTCATTGTGAAAAAAACGTACTAATACCTTCTGATCCCACTGAAATATATTACTTATACTTCCAGCCAAACATAAGTATTCTATATTTTCGTCCATGAAAACAAACATTTTCCCTATGGTGCTATGTTGTATAAACATGGCAGCCGATTTCCACCGAGTCTTTGAAACAACAGGACGTGTCGCTAGGCACAGCCTCGCAGTTAGGCAGGGAGGGGGACTGCCAACAAATTGACTCTTTATTTTATTGGTCTAACCTCATGGCAGACGCTGTCTCGCTGTGCCGTCCAGCAGTGTCACTCACCCCTGTCTGTCTAAATATCAGCAATGGAGCCTACGCAGCGCCGCTGGACTAAGGTTTTATTATTAGCCCTGCAGCAAAGCCTTGAAGGCTCAACAGTGCATTTCACAACGACTATGTTAAAACAATACGAGGGATGTCAACTACACGGAGTCAGAAGTGTACATTTACGGCCATCCAGTAATAGCTAATTAACAAAAGACATTCTTATATTCTATATTATTCTTATATTCTCAGTGGTCAATGTTGGATCTGGTTTTATGATATGTGTGATCAATGTCCACTCTCGCATTGTTTGGATTTAGCTAAATACTGTAGCGATACCGTTTTACTATTAGACAGCAGAACCGTTTCTCACGCGCACTAAACGCAAGAAAACTTGACTTTATTTCAGAAACAATCTAACATTTGACATTCACTGGCAGGTTCTTTGGGCAGTGGTGGTTCGTTGGTTAAGGTAGCGACGCTTGAGCTGCCCACTGCTAATGCTGATGGGGTATTGGTAAATTTGGTGTGCTGTGTTACAGTGACACAAATGGATCCCTTTCACTTCACTTTTTTTTTACCCCCTTTGAAAAAGATTTGAAAAACCTCGGCAAAGATGATGAGCCATTATTTTGAGGAAAGAAAGAATTCCACCTGCCACATCAGTCCATGACAGAACAGGGAAAGGCCATGAGTTGGAATACTCCAGTGGAATGAAGTTTAGGGATTTCCAGTCTCCGTATGCAACTAACATTTTTCCTCTCTGGGATTTGACTCTGGCCTGGGACAATTGTTGAATGTTTCAAACTGCAAAATGTCAACAACTGATCTTTCATGAGACATTTCCAAACTTGTGTTTTGTGTAAAAGCAACCAGAAGGCTTCAGCATGCCACACGAGCCAAGGCTGCATAAGGAAAACCACATTTCCTCTAAAACTGTCCCTTCTGATTTTTTTTTTTTTTTTTTTTTGATTTTTCCTTTTTTGTCTTTTATTGTTCATAGACCGTTTTCCTCACAATCTGCTGCACTCAGCACTTACTAAACTGAAGCTGGTGGGCCCTGAGTGTGGGAGGGTTTATGTCTGTCTACCTGTGTATATACAGTGGGTCAGGGCCCTTAACTTCTCTGTTAGACACACGTATTCAGACTGTTCTTACTGCCCTCACAGATACCGTGGATATATAAGGTGATGACACCTCGGTGTGTGTTCTAAAATGTTACCACATGGATGTGCTGTATTTTTACCTCTGTCCTACGGACCGATGGGACATTTTGGTCCACGGCTAAAATAAGAATGACTCTGGTAGAAAATAACATGTAGTCAAGGGAGTGTATAGTATTAGAAAGGCTTTTTTTTTCTTGATCTTGATTTTTGACAGGGGTTATAAATAAAGTTCAGACCACAACTGGTGGGAGATGTGGTTAGTGCCATTGCCTTACAGCAGGACGATCACCACATGTCGGTTTCATCCCCAGTCTTTGTGTATGGTGTTCTAGCAGTGTGGGGGTTCCACAGGATCGGGCCAACTCTAAATTAACCTTAGGTGTGAATGTGAGTGTAAATGGTTGTTTGTCGTTCTTCTGTGTTTGGCCCAGAGATTGACATGGACATGCAGGCTGTGCGGGGTGTACCCTGCCCTCACCTGTTTACAGACGAGATTGACTCCAGCTCAGTCATTAGACGTCTCTATCTTGGTCACTAAAACCAATGTCAATCCTTTTGTTTAGGATCCTCTCTCTGAACTCTTAACTCAGATCCACAGTGGGCCAAATCTAAAAACTGGGACGAAGTCACAGGCCAAACTCAATATTAATTAAAACATTTACAGCAATTGTTCATGTTTTCCCTTCTGTCCAGATGCTGTATGTAATGCAGATTTTTTTCATGTGGAAACATATTTTAGTTTTGCGTAAAC